ACGATTTTTGAAAATCGTTCAAACATATCGTCGATTTTCTCGTTCTCCTTCATATGAAATAGTTCATACTCATGGGTTAGAAAATCTATCTTAGCTTCTCGGACTTGATCCGTACCTTCATATGTGATTTCTAGCTTGTCCCACATTTCCTTGGCGGTGGAACAACAAGAGATCTTCCGGTAGTCATCCGGGTTTACTGCACAATAAAGAATGTTGATCGCCTTGGCGTTGTTTTCTATTTTCTTGATATCCTGCGCATCGTATTCTTCTTCGGTTTTGGGAACGGTGGTTTCCCCAACTTTCTTCATGGGCACTTCTTCCCCATTCTTGACAATTCTCCATAGGAGAAAGTTGTTGGATTGGATGAAAATTCTCATTCGCTCCTTCCAATATATGTAATTCGTTCCATCAAATAATGGAGGCCTTGTGGTGGATTGCCCTTCTCCTAAACCTGCGTATAAGTTTTGAGTAGAAGCCATTGATCGTTTCTCTCAAACGGTTAAGTCTTTCAGAGAGTAAGACTCTGATACCAATTGTTAGAATAAAGGCCCAACGCTAGAGGGGGGGTGAATAGCGTTTGAAATAAAATCGCAGGAAATTAAAAACGAGTGCGTTAAAGTAAAGAGCGTAGGGAAGGAGCACACCGAGTTTTATCCTGGTTCACCACAACGTGTGGCTAATCCAGCCCCCCGAGAGACTCTCTCGAGCTACACTAACTCCGTTAAGCTTAAGGGTGCTTAACAAACCGATACAACTTGAGAACCCGAGTCACACGAGCCTCAACACCTTTGCTCGGAGATACCGCACTCCAAGACTTCTCACGAAGGAACAAGAAAAATCCATCGAGTTTACAACAAGGGAACAAACTCCCTTAAAGTGTATGAAAACACTTAATCACTCAGAAATAAAACTCTCACAAAGAGTAGATATGAGTGAACTAGTAAACGCTCAAGAACACGACAATTTCTTCAAGAATTGGCTCTCAAATAGCTAAGAAAAATAGGAATGCTTATGCAATGAAGGAGTATTGAAATGTTGAAGAATTGTGTGTAAAATGAGAGGATTTGGGTGCCATTTTATAGCCCAAAATGGGATAAATCCGTTGCTAGAATTTCCAACAGGATGAAGACAAATTTTTCAGGGACACAGGCTGAAAGTCGATTATCAAAGCTTGATAATCGATTATCCAAAGATTCCCTGTCCAAAAATTTAAAATTCTATCCGTTGGAGGACAACGGTAACCCAGATAATCGATTGTCAACAAGTGATAATCGATTATTGGTCCTCTCAGAAGATTCTGGATTTTGGCTGCAAAGACTGATAATCGATTATTGCAAATCTGATAATCGATTATTGCGTGCTTCAGAACTTTGGAAGTTCAAAGCTGCAGTGGCTGATAGTCGATTGTCACTAGGGTGATAATCGATTATCACCCAGCTAAAGTCTAGCCAGCTGAAACCCGTTTTGAAAAACCGAGGTCCAAAAACGAAGTGTTTCCAAAAGTAAAAACCAGGTTTGGAAAATATTGTATATGGTATTAAATAGTGAAAACAAGACTTGTTTGGTAAAAACCAAGTCTCCAAGGTCGTATAATACGTACGTACGGTTTAGACCGTTTTTCACGTGTTAGACCGATTGACCAAGATACAAAAGTGGTTTTTATAAAATAATTATTTGGAAACATTTTAAAAATGCTCAGAGGTAAAAACAAGGTTTAAAAAATTGAAAACCACGGAGTTGGTTCGGGCGCCAAAAACCGAACGTCGAAAGCCGAATGTCGAAAGCCGAACGCCGACTTAGGTGGTTTTGGTTCTGAGCAAGGACTAGGGATTTTAACAATAAAAGAAATCATCAAAAATGTTTGTTTTGATGCACAAAAAATATTTTATGGTTTGTAAAAATTGTTTTGACTTTTTGAGAACCGAGACTTGAATATATTGTCGGTTTTGATCACAAAAGACCGACTCGACTAAGTCTTCAATTCTTGATCTTGTCCTTGAGTCTTTTAGGTCTTGTTCCAAGCCATTCTTCACGCCTTGAGTTATTCAACGAAACTCTTTATATCCACGGCGGTTTGGCAATTATCAAAACCTGTNAGGGATTTTAACAATAAAAGAAATCATCAAAAATGTTTGTTTTGATGCACAAAAAATATTTTATGGTTTGTAAAAATTGTTTTGACTTTTTGAGAACCGAGACTTGAATATATTGTCGGTTTTGATCACAAAAGACCGACTCGACTAAGTCTTCAATTCTTGATCTTGTCCTTGAGTCTTTTAGGTCTTGTTCCAAGCCATTCTTCACGCCTTGAGTTATTCAACGAAACTCTTTATATCCACGGCGGTTTGGCAATTATCAAAACCTGTTAGAAATGAACACGACTTTAGTTTATCGTACAAAGTGTGTTCCAACAAAATATCTAGTCCCACTAATTGCCACAGCATAATTAATGGGACAAGGCTTAATTATTCATGTTTATCTCTATTGCCATGGTCCCATGTTTGGTCTCAAGTAGCTAAAAAAAAGCAATCAAAATTAAAGAAAAATGATGGTGAAACGCTCCCTTTGAGTTGGGACGCTCCCAAGTTTTCAGAATTAATCCAATGCAATGATACTTAAATAGAGTCCCAAGTTAACTTGTGTTGTGGGAAACATGCCCAAATTTGTCTACCATACCCATTCTGATTGTCACTATATCGGTAAGTTGGCAACTCTCCATCCTTGGCATTGAGGCACCTCAGAGTATCTAAGAAATGCAACGCCTAATTGGTAAGTTGGCAGCTCCCAGACCAGTCGCTTCCTCTTTAAGGTAATCGATCGCGTTATTAAATCAAACTCTAATATGTAAGGATGTGACAAGTCGCGCTTATCTATGTGGCATATTTTTTACACATTAGCTCACACCTAATTATTACTTAGATAAAGGCACCAATATTTGTTTTTAAAAAGGAATATTATCATAAAGGAAACATAATCTTTTAAAAGAAATGTTTTCATCATATTTGTTAGCAATGCTTATATACAGAGTACTTTTCTTTTTTGAACCGAAACCAAAATGATATTAATCGCCACAAATCATAATTAAAACATAGTCCAGATATAAACAAGTACTCACCTACACAAACCCCCTGCTAGAATGTTTCACACAAGCTAATTAACACATACTAGCTCCTCTGGAATTCATGAAAATGGTGACCTGGAAGATTATCCAACGTATAGCTTCGTCTTCAGCAGCAGATAGTTCCTTGTCCTCCAAATAGTGTACAAAAATGCTCATACACTGCCATTATCTTCCATCTCTTTTTCTCGGTGTTAGTTTCTTCAGCTTCTCAATAATATCCTCAATGGTGTCCCCCCCCCCCCCAAAACTTATAATTCCACCAAGGCACCAAGTACAGACCCTCATATAGATAGCCTTTGCATATTGACATCTACAAAAAAGTTGTTGGTAGTCTTCCTCTCCATTTTTTCAGAGTGCACAAATGGTATCAATAGAGAAGAATTTACCAAGTCTCCTTTTAGTTTGGAGTCTATCTTGCACACAAGCCATAATATAAACTTATGTTTAGGTGCAAAAAATTTATTCCATACAACGCTGTACCAGTTTGGAACCTATTTTTGTCCCACAAGCCACTTGTACACGTGATTTGGAGTGTAGGTTAAATCCTTCTCCATTCCCCTAAAATAGTCTCTCACTTGAATCAACTTCTTCCAATAATAGCAAGAATCTTTTTTGATTATAAAGTCCCAAATGGAGCATACCTACCATGGACCCATTTAATCCAAATTAAAGGTTAACCTTCTTTTGTGCGATGTCCCAGACCAGCCTCATGATACTAGCTTTATTCCACAAGATAAGTTTTTTATACCCAAACCCCCATTATCTTGGGTAGGCAGGCATCATCCCAAGCAACTAAGGTGCTTTTTATATTCATGTGAAGAGCTCCAAAGGAAGTTCATGCAAAGAGATTGGATCTTTTTCATAACCTTTGTAGGTATTAGGAATAACCTAATCCAAAATCCTATGACCCCAAATAAAACTGAGTTCATCAGATTGACCTTTTGAGCATAAGAAAGGTGCTAAGAAGTCCAAGAAGTGATTTTTTGGGTCATGCACTCCACTAGTCTATCACACTCTTTATTACTTATTCTAGATGATGTTATAGGGCCACCAAGGTATCTAAAAGAAAGGGATCCATTGCTCATGTTGGTTATTTCAAGTAGACTTTCCTCCATTTGCTTAGAAACTCCCCCAAAGATAATTTCTAGCTTTGAAGGATTCACCAGCAACCCTGTTGTACTCTTAAAGTGATTGAATGCATTCATGATTGTCTTGATAATTTTTTCCCTAGCCTTACAAGCCACATTAAGGTCATCAACAAAAACAATATTGATTCAGAATACTTTTCTTAGTAATGCTATATTCGTTAATAATGTTTTCATCACCTAATTCAAAAGAATGTTTCATTATTTAAAATTATTCTTAAATATTGTAGATATATATATATATATATATATACATATATATATATATGTATGTATATATATATATACATACATACATACATACATACATACATACATACATACATACATACATACATACATACATACATACATACACACACACACACACATATATATATAAAGTATGTATGTGTGCGCGCTGCCTTCTGCTTCCAGTTGCCGCCGCCGGTCTCCGGCCGCCACCGCCGCCGCCGGACTCTGGTTGCTGCCGCCGGCCGCCGCTGCTCTGCCGCTTGCCACTTCTGCTGACCGGTGGTTGACCGATGTAGCTATTTTATTTTTAATTAATTTTTTAATTTTCAAAATTTAAAAAAAGGTGAGTTTTGGGGTTCCAAGTGGTGAGCTTTGCTTTATTTTCAGGTGAGCTTTGCATTGTCCATTGGTGAGCTTTGCAGTGGCTAGACCGAAGCATGTCATCTCACCGTAAGGTGTCATTTCACTAGAGTCAATCCCTATATTAATGTTTCTTATTAAAATCTCTCTTATATTTGGTGACTATCATAGTTTATTTAATAAAACAAATAATTATTATTTTAAAATTTATCTGGCTAGATTAGGAAAAAGTTTTGTATATACATTATAAATAAAAATTAGTTCAAATATTTCATATTTGTATTTTATAGATCAACCTTTATTTAAAATTAAACGACATACATGTTATTGTTTTAAGACATTATTTAAATTTTATCTAGCTTTTTAATCCATGTGATGCAAGGGGTTAAACCTTTTTTTTAATCTTAAATTTTTCTTCGCTTATTACATTAGAGTAATTGAAATGTATTTCAAATATGATATACAGAGTATAATAATATGGACATCAAAATCAATTAAAAAGTATTATCGTAAAGGAAAGATAATCATCTAAAAGAAATGGCTTCATCATGTTCATTAATGATGAATATTGGGCCTAGTGAGTAGAATGGGTAGGCCCAAACGTGTTGTTTGGAGCCCAATATACTAAAGGGGATGAATTCATGCCAAAGCTGAGTCAGAGTATGAACTGGGCTGACAGAAGTACCGTTTATAGGTTTGGGCCATGGCCCAAATCGCAAATGGAAGTGGAGCGCCCCACGTCAGGCCAATCATGTCGATAACATAGGACACGATTACATACCTTGTATATATCAAAGTTAGACTATAAAAAGGAGAGCAAATCTCCATTGTAACTCAAGTTGAATGAAGCTAATATAAGTCTTACTGAGATCATATTTTTCAAAGACTTTATCTTTCTTTTACGTCAAGTTCTTCGTGCCTCCATATTTCACGGGCTATATCCCATCATTGGTGCTTTTATTCAAAGTGTTATTGTGAGAAAATCTTTGTGAGAATATGACTGATGAAGAACTAGAAACTCGAGGCGCATGGCTACAACTTCTAAGCAGTCATCGGCAGGGGCTAGGCTCCTAGCCAAACCCTTGCTATTGTTCCAACTTTTGGTTGGACCGTGCTCTCCCACGTCCCTCTGGCATTCCGCGTGGCCTTGTCAACCAGCCACACCAAGTACTCCATACGGTGGGGTAGCGATCCGGCCCAATCCTACATCAACTCCACAACCTAGAAGAGCTTGAGAGGGAATAGGAGGTAATTGTGAGGTGCTTGGAAGAGGAGCTAATCCGGAAAAATAGGGCGCTGCGTAGGGAGGACCTCAGATGACGAGTACAATACCCAAGAGCTCCGGGTTACCGGCCAGACACGGGATGTGGAGACCGGTAACTTGAGAGCCACGATGTTCGGAAGGTTGTCAAAGGGGTTGGTTTATATGAGTGAAAGACTACGACAAAATCCGTGGAAAGCTACTACATCCAAGGTCAACCCCAAGGTACCCAAGTGAAGTCATCTTACCGTACGCCTCGTCCTTAGGGTCATCTCGGTGGAACACGCATGGTTCCCGAGAATCTCATCATCATGGACGAAGATGAAGTGCAGAGTCAACCTAAGGTCTTGGCACATCAATTCCTAGGATCAATAGGGCAAGAGATCGAGGTTATCCAGGATTTGCGTCAACAGATCCAGGACACGACCAGAGGGTGAACTAGGGATGAGTGTCAAACAACCCGCACCAATACTCCCTTTCCCTAGGACGTATTGGCAGAACCGTACCCTTTGGTTTTAAGGTTCCATTTATTAAAAGATATGATGGGGTATGTGATCCCAGGAGCATGTGAACAGTTATGTTCATATCATGGTTTTGGTGGGAGCAACATGAACTTTAATGTGTCGTTGTTTCCTCCAAACGGTGGATGGTAAGCTGGTGGGTTGGGTCAATCATATCCTGGTAGGATCTGTCAAAAGGTGGGATGACCCGGGGTTACATTATTTGGAGCACTTTGTAGTAAAGTACCAACCCAAAAAACATTTCACCCACCTTGTGTCTGTGCAAGAGAAGAATGGTGAATCTTTGAAGAACTTTCTCACTCGATGGAGGAAGGAATTTTGGGAAGTGGAAGGTGTAGATGACAAGTTTAGACTCGCCATGTTCGACAGCTCTACAAGAAGGGCTCCTCTACACAAACCTCACAACCCATCCCCTGGACTCTTTCGAATAGGTCATAGTCGAGGAAGGGTGGTACATGACCTTGGAGGAGCTAAGAGAAGAGAAGAAGTTTTAAAAAGCTCCCAAACAGAATGAAGACAAGTGAGGGGTAAGAAGTCATTCAAGAACAACAAGCAGAGTTTTCCAGAAGGACCAAATGGACAATCTGTCGGGCCTTCTGGGAGTTCAAAGTCACACAACCCGATGTTCACTATTCTCGTGGCAGAAGAAATGGCCCACGCAGCCCAGCAGGGGTTGATGACTTATCCCACTATTCTGACAAGGTGTGCAACATGGAGAAAACCGAGAAATGATGCACCTACCATCAGAAAAATGACCATAACACTAAAGATTGCTACACTCAAAACTCAAAAGAACCAGATGACCAAGCTCATCTGGAGTGGCATTTGAAGAAATATGTTCAGAACCATGTAGAGGAGGAAGCGCCTGGAAATTCCTGGACATGGAAGTGAAATGAAAATTAGGTTTCTTAGGTGGAGCCCCAAGGGAAGAGGCATATCGGTTTGCACAATGAGGAGGAGGCTTTTGAACCTGCTCCAAACCGACAGAAGAGGCACCACGGGTGCAACTACATTGTTGGTGGGAAGACTAGGGGTGATTTCCCCACCAGCCGAGAAAAGTGGGCCAACAGATCTTCACTCAACAAAGTGGTCACCGCGTTCCGACCAGAAGGTAAGAAACTTAAAACCGAGCCCATTACCTTTTCAAATGCTTATTTTCCTGAAACATGGCCCCCCATAGGGATGCCCTTGTTATCCCAATCGTATCATGGACTTGCTTATCCATAAAATGTTATAGGATATGGGATCTTCCTTGAATATCATGTGCATGGATAATTTCATAGTCTTGGGTTTGACCTGAGAAGAATTGGTGCCGATTAAGACCCCGTTAACCGAGTTCACTGGTGATTCTATTGAGCTTGAGGGAGTGATCACCTTGCTGGTGAAAGTAAGGGATACAAAGGCCACCCGGAAATAGAGTATGGAATTTGTGGTTGTTGGAATTACTTCCAACACAAACCTAATCTTGGGAAGAGCAAGAGTTGAGCACCTGAAGTGTGTTATTTTGCCCCAAAATCTGTGCATCCAATTCCCAACCCTTCAGGTGTGGGATTGCCAGGGGATCCAGAGAGTGTCCCAGGGTGTTGAATATATGTAAGCCCTAGAGGCAAACTTATGATTTGCATGTGATTATTTCAAAAATAAAGGTGCTAAGGACTGTTTAAATTATCTCGTGTAATTTAAACATAACTTTAGTCCATAGATTAGTGTTCTAGTATCATAGATGAGAACTACGATATTTTGATTGTGAGACTATTACAAATATAGAGACTAGATCTAAAATATCCTGAGTCGAATATTATGATAATATGGACGTCATAATATATTAAGACTAATACGTGTGAGATGAGATAGCTGCGGAGTCCTCTATTATCAAATATTACTCCAGTGGTCCTTCTTTTATGGGTATCCTTCCACAAATAGTCCTTTTTTGATCTTCTATCATGTTGGTGTTAATTTGAGGGCTAAAAGTGTAATTTTGCAATGATAATATATCTTTTTTGTCATACAGAATTCCAAAGGCTATTTCGTTTCAATCGTTTGTGAATTGCAGTAGCTTTCTACTACAACCATAGTCTACAAATGTAGCCTTTCGTCGGAATCCTAGCCCTCTCTCTTGCATCGTCATTCTCACATGGCTTCCACTTCCAAAAATCCCTTTAAGAAATTCAAGAAATTCATCCTCAAGACCGTGGTGGCTCAGATGAAGAAACTTCAAGAGAGCCTCGATGACCTCTCGGATCGCATGAAGAAAATGGAGGACCGTGAGAATCGCCAAAAGCAAAATGAGGATCGCGCTTCTAGACGTCGTCGCTAAGTGTTGGGCATTTGACAAAATGATCAAACATTATCTTATTTATGTTTTCATAACAATTATGTATTTCGTGTTATGTTTCAAAACTCCTTACTTTGTATTATGTTTAAAACTCGTATTTATGCACTTTTATGATTGAAAACCCCTTTGTTATAATTATGCTTTTGGGTTGATTTCTTATGGTTTGATGATGCTTGTGGTTTACTTCAATGCTTATAATGTTGCCGTGATGAATGTCTATGTGTTGAAACTCATGTTTTTGGTACCTCCGCCTTTTTGAATGCTGCCAAAAGGGGGAGAAATATTAGGCTTTCACATGCATACATTTAAGGGGAGTTTTGTCAAAATATCATGTGCATCAACTTAGGGAGTTTTAAAATCAATATATGCTTTTCATGATATGTTTGTGCGTTTGATTATTCGAAAGCCTTATTTGTCAATATCAAAAAGGGGGAGATTGTTGGCCTTGAATGCCGTACCCCGTAAATGTTTTGATGTGCCAAATAAGTCTTCCAATGCTACTAACATCATTTGCAGGATTAAACCAAACGTCAAACCTCTATCAGCTTGTTTAGCATCACCGAGATATACTCCTACGAGCATAGAAATATTTGTGTAAAGATAAAGATATATTTTAATGATTTACTTATGCCCTTCCACTCAAAAATTATTTCTAAAATGATAAATATATTCTTAGTTGGGGTTATTTTGAAAACGGAACACACAAAACGAATTTTGGAAAATTTACACAGGTCTAACGGTACCTGGCTACCGTGTACACGACACCAAGGTACCATCGGTAGCCAAGTGAACGTACCGTTGTACGTTTCACCTAAGTGGTACACGGTACCTTCTACCACGGTACTTGGGTACCGACGGTAGGCAGAGACGGTTGGCACAACCCGTCCTAACCAGGTACCGCCAGAGCTGAATTGAAATCTTTGGCCTATATGGTACCCCCTAGCGGTAGGCTGTATCGTGGTTACGGTACCTAGGTACCGAACGGTACTGACCCTATCGTGAAGGGTACCGTATCCGTTATCAGCACTGTAGCAAATTGCCAATTTAAATTCAAATCACCCCTAATCACTTCCGAACGGAATTTAACGTTAAAAACTCATATTTTAACCTTCCAAACTCCTATATAAACCCCCTCTAAGTCTCATTTTATAGACAACAACTTCCCAATTAAATCTAAAGCCTCTTTCTCTATTCTTGAGTGTTCCTTGAAGCTTTGTTCTTATTTTTCTTACTCTTTTGAGTATAAAGCTTTCATTATTTTTATACACTTATACAGAAGGGCATTTGTGTTTCATTATTTTATATCTTGCCTATAAGCTTTTGTTGTTGTTGATTTAATCTTTTGTTCTTCTCATACCCAATTCATATTTATTATTATTTTGGTAGAGAAGTAACATCAATCTTTTATTGATTTGTAAAAGGTGTGGATAGCCTTTAAATCCTCATTGTAAGGTTGAAGATAGCCTTAAAATCTTCGGTTGTAAACGGTTGAGATAGCCGTAGTAAAATCTCATTTGCTTATTGGCAAGGGTTGGTTGCCAAACCTCGTTTGAGTCTTCTTAGTGAAGCCAAACAAGTTAGTGGAGGTTAAATCCTTGAGGAGGAGCCTCGAGGTACTGGAGTAGGGAGTTCCTGAACCAGTATAAAATCGCTTGTGTCGTATTTTTATCTTTTATACTTTTCTTGCTCCTTTTGTGCTACTACATTGCGCATAAGTTTTTGTTTTTACGAAAAACTTGCAAACACCCTAATTCACCCCTCTTAGGATGTAAACCGACTTTCAATTGGTATCGGAGCAGGAAGTTTGATCCTTTCACACTCATCTTTTATTTCTTTTTACGACACATGGATTCAATGAACTCCCAAAGCATTACCAAGCCACCATTCTTCAATGGGGATAACTATGGCTATTGGAAAATGCGAATGGAGAATTTCATTCAATCTATTGACTATGATTTATGGATAGTCACTACTCATGGTCCGTTTGTTCCTATGACAACTGTAGGTGAACATCAAGTGCCTACGCCAATGGACAAGCTCACAACCGATGACAAGAAAAAACTCTCTTTGAATGCCAAANAAAGCTACCAAGATAGCTTTAGGAACATCCGAGTATGAAAACTTCAAAATGAAGGCCGGAGAATCCGTTCAAGATATGAACAAACGATTCAACCTCATTGTCAACAATTTGAGTAAGCTAAATAAAGTTTATCCTACTAGTGAGATTAACACCAAGATTATATTCTCTCTTCCTAGAGAGTGGCATAGTCTTGTTGTAAATTTGTTGCCCAAATGTGCGGATGTTGAAACCTCCACCATTTGGAGCAGCCTATACTCTCATGAGCTTCTTTTGAAGAAAATGAAGGAAGAAGAACAGGTTCCTATCATCAAGAAGACCATGGCACTCAAAATTGATGACCATCCAGAGAGCAAAGGAGGAAGTGATGAGGAGCTTGTCATGTTCAAAAGATACAAAAAATTTATGAAGTGGAACAAGGGAGAATCCTCAAAGAGATTTCCACCAAAGAAAGGTAAATCTAATCAAATAACTTGTTATGAATGTGGAAATGTAGGTCATATCAAACCGGAGTGCCCAAAGCTCAAAAAGAAGGAAGAGCTTAAAAAGGGGAAGAAGAAGGCATTGAAAGTCGCTTGGGATGATTTAAACTCGGATGAAAGTGATAGTGATTAAAGCCTAGAAGAAAACACGAATGCTTGCTTCATGGCTTCAAACGATGAGGAAGATGTTAGTTCCCAAAATTCATTTACTTCTTTTAAAAGTCAAATTACTTTTGATGAGTTAAGGCAAGCATTTGATGAATGCCAAGAGGACCTTTTTCGAACCATTAGGGAGAAAAAGGAACTCAAAGTGGCTCTTTAAACTTCTCGGGATGAAAACAAAAATTTAAAACTTAATCTTGAGAAACTTCAAAACCAAAATGAAGAATTTCAAAAGAAAATTGAAATTTTGATTAAAGAAAAAGACAAGGCCAAGCGAGGGGCTTTGGAAATGTTTTACAATAGCTATAACTCAACAAAAGAATGGGATAACCAACCAAAGCTAACGAAAGAAGGTATTGGTTATGGTGAAACCACAAATTTGATGAGCATGGCTAAAAATCATTTTAAAACCTCAAAAACTAACCCATCAAACCAAGACTCAACTTCTAAATCAAAAGTAAAGGCTTGACACTATTGCATGCAAGCTAATCATATTGTGACAAAATGTCCAAACAAATGGTTAGTTGAAATGCGTAGAAGGTTCTAACCGGTCGGAATCCAAGAATATTGGGTATCAAAAGAAACCCTTTTTGCAAGAAAATAAAAGAAATGATGGTGGATACTATTTCTTTTATTATGACGAAAAACGAAAAGTCCATATACCACTTCTAGAACCAACCAAGACAAAACCCGTATATCGACATAGGGTATTCATCGATTGGAACCCCAAACCTAAGTCAAAAGTAAATTCCTCTTTGACTAGGTGAAAAATATCACTTGGGTTGTGGATAGTGGATGTTCGAGGTATATGACCGGAACAAGAGGATGGTTCACAAATCTCAAAGAGAAAAGTCATGGACATGTGACCCTTGGAGACAAATCCCGGAAGAGAGTCATTGGTAAAGGTACGATAGGTATTTCAAGTGATTTTTCAATAAATGATGTTTATCTTGTTGATGGCCTAAAATTTAATTTAATTAGCATAAGCCAACTTTGTGACAATGGCCACAAAATTGAGTTTAATGCAAATTCCTGCGTTTTATATGGCCAAAATAAAGATGAAATCATTTTTGAGGCTAAAAGAGATGGAAATTTATACAAGTTCAATTCCAATGACTTAAGCAACTCAAAAATCACTTGTCTTACTACTTCACTTGAATTTTCAACATTATGGCATCGTAGACTAGGAAATGCTAGTTATGATCTTTTGAGAAAACTTTACTCAAAAGAACTTGTTGTTGGGCTACCAAAAATGAGCATACCTAATTCTCGTTTTTGTGATGCTTGCTCCCTTGGAAAACAACATAAAGTTTCATTTAAGCCCATAAAAATGGTTTTAACGTCAAGGCCACTTGAACTATTACATATGGATTTATTTGGGCCCGTAGACGTTCAAAGCCTAGGTGGAGCTAGTTTTACTTTTGTGATTGTAGATGATTTTTCTCATTATACTTGGACTATATTACTTGCCAATAAAGATGATGCGTTTAATGCGTTTGTTAAGTTGTGCAAGAGAATCCAAAATGAGAAAAGTTATGAAATAACCTCCATTAAAAGCGATAGAGGAGGAGAATACCGGAATACCGATTTTGAGACATATTGTGATGAACACGGTATTTCTCATAACTTTTCGGCTCGTAGAACACCTCAACAAAATGGAGTCGTTGAAAGGAAAAATAGGACGTTGCAAGAAATGTCAAGGACCATGTTGAATGAACACAACCTACCTCAATATTTTTGGAGAGAAGCGGTCAACACGGCATGCTACGTTCTTAACCGGGTATTACTTAGACCTATTATTAAAAAGAATCTCTATGAACTTTGGAAAGGTAGAAAACCAAATATTTCCTATTTCAAAGTTTTTGGGTGTAAATGCTATATTTTGAATACCAAAGATCATTTAGGCAAATTTGAGCCTAAATCAAATGAAGGAATTTTCCTTGGTTATTCAACAAATAGTAGAGCCTATAGGGTATATAATAAATCAAATCATAAAGTAGAAGAATCTATGTATGTGAAATTTGATGAAACTGATCCCTTTGGGTCGAGTAAGGTAATTGCAGGTTCAAATGAAGAAGAGGAAGAAGAAATCCTAGAAATTCCTGCACAAGAAGAAGAAAATGAAAAGAAGGAAACTACCAAAGGCTTACAAACACTTGAAGAATCATCCGAGAGACAATATCATTGGAGATATTGAAAAGGGAGTGAGAACTAGGAACAATTACAATCTTTGTGCACACTATGCGTTCGTTAGTCAATTTGAACCTAAGAACGTAGAAGATGCACTAAAAGATAGTGATTGGATTATTTCCATGCAACTAGAGCTTGAGCAATTTGAACGCAACAAGGTTTGGGAACTAGTCGAAAGACCGGAAAACCGACCCGTTATGGGCACTAAATGGGTCTTTAGAAACAAGCTTGATGAAAATGGTGTTATTATCACCAATAAAAGTTGACTTGTTGCTAAAGGCTATAGTCAAGTTGAAGGACTTGACTATGATGAAACTTTTCCTCCGGTTGCTAGGCTTGAATCTATTCGTATGTCATTAGCTTTTGCAAGTGCTCTTAATTTCAAACTTTTTCAAATGGATGTTAAAAGTGCTTTTCTCAATGGATGGTTAAAAGAAGAAGTTTATGTTGAACTGTTAAAATAAGTGACCAACGCTAGAGGGGGGGTGAATAGCGTTTGATCGTAGAAATCGCAGGAATAAAAAACTTAAAAGAGAAGTAAAGAGAAGAGTAAGAGGCACACCGAATTTTACCCTGGTTCAGCACAACTTGTGGCTAATCCAACCTCCCGAGAGACTCTCTCGAGCTACACTACTTCCGTTAAGCTTACGGGTGCTTAACAAACCGTTACAACCTGAGAACTCGAGTCCCACGAGCCTCAACAACACTTGCTCGGAGATACCGCACTCCAAGACTTCAACCCAAAGGAAAATACCTTTCCTTCGTACAACCAAGGGAAACAAGCTTCCCTTAATGTGTATACAACACTAAGACACTCAAGAACAAGGCTCTCTTTTAGAGTAGATGTTGAGTAAACTATATACGCTCAAGAACAACTCAAACTTCACAAATTGGCTCTAGAAAGCTATGAAAAATGATGTTGTTTTAATGCAATGATGATATGAATATTGTGAAGTGAATTGATGAGAAAAGCAGACCCAAACACCCCTTTTTATAGTGCCAAAATAGGCTCCAACGGACCAATGCATTAAAGGGGTGATTGGCTTGATTTAAGGGATTGAATAAATTTGGGATCT